GTAGAGGTTCCCCCCCCCCGTACTGTACCTTCCCTCCCCTTTCCCCCTCCCAAGTTTCTTCCCTTTGCACCCCCCGGGTTTCTCCCTCTTTTGTCCCCTTCCATTTCTCCATTTCCCCTCCCCCCTTTTTGCCCCCCCCTCCTTTGGTACATCCATTACAGTTCCAAATCTTTACTCATCCTCCCCCTCCATTTCCAATATTGTCTCCCAACGCGTCTCTGAATTCTGAAACAGAACCCAACCCTTGAATAATTGCGGACAAAACCATAAATGGACACTGATCCACCCTCCGTTTCCTTTTCCCCTCCCTTTTTTCCTCTGCGCAACTTTCCTTTTTTACAGCGCACCGTTCTTCCTGCTTGAACTTTTCCACGCCTCCACATGGGACTTTCTAACCCCTTAGTCCGAGGAACCCCTTACCGGGATTTCAGGTATCTTTATCATTGCCAATCATGGGCCCTTTTTCAGTGGAAAAATTTGCGGCCTCAGGGGTATCGGGGTAGCTTCAGATGTTACTCTCCCAATTTTCCCCCCGTTGGTGTTTTCTTAAGGAACCAAAATTCACTCTGCTTTACTCCCCATTCAGGGTTAATTTTTTGTATTCCTCAATCCTTTTCCTGAGGGACCTTTAATGAAAGTGCCTCTTCTACCATGATATTCCATACCTCAGCTATTTGTTCTACTTTGCTGCATTACCCAGCAGCCCATCCCCCTTTATGGTGGTAAAGCTCTGTTCTTTAAATCTCTCTCCTTCTCGGGCATTTCTTTTTCGGATTTACCTTTTTTGTTTTTCATTACCCACCGATTCTGTTACTTTGGGATTTTAATGCCCACCATTTCCCTTGGGGGGGGGGGGCTCACTATGATTCCGTGGGATTCATTAAGGCTTTTTTTTGCCACCCACCCCCTCCATTTTTTAAATAAGGACTCACACCCCCTTTTTTATCCCGGCTACACCTTCTTGCATGACTCTCAGTCTCTCTTCCTCCGCCCCATTGACTTTACTTGGTCTGTTCTTTCCCGGGCTTACATACAGCGATCATTTCCCAAACATCTTACTTCCCCCCTATTCCCACCTCTTCGCTCCCACGCGGCATTTGATCAGGGAAATTGGGAACCTTAAATCACACCAACGTTTTTTTGAGAGGTTCCCTTTTTCGTCCCCCATCGATGACTTTTACACCTCTTCTGTCCTCCGTTTTAACCACAGCTTCATTCTATCCCCCCAAAATTCGGGCAGGCTTTTTAGAAATGCTGCCTTGGGGGTCTCCTGCTTTGCTCGTGCAGTAGTTTTTAAACGCCTGCTGGGGGAGGTACCGGGACAATTTGAACCCAGAGAGAACTTTATTTTAAGCAGAAGCGTGCGATCGCTCGCCGTGTCCCGGACCTAAATGCACTTGCTGGGGAGATTATTTTCACCATCACCTCTGCTTCCCCTAGAGTGCATCTGGAAAAAAGTCGAAAATGAGTGGTAAAAATTCTCCGACCCGCTCCTGTTCTGCGGGGTTTCCCGGGGTTGTTAGCAAACCCCCTAGATGTTGCAATGAAATTGGCAAACATCGGTCCGTATTTTCAGGGACTCCATCTATGCCCCCCTTTTTTTTTCCTCAAAGTCTCCGAGAATTTTGCACCTTGGAAATTTTTTTTCCTAGAAAGAACAGTGTAATGGCCTTTACCCTTCAAAACGGGGGGCAACACTCCAGCTTGCGATCATCGGGACCTGGCCCGAGACTTTTAAATTTGTAGCTACAACATTTACACAGTCGCCCCTTGCAGTCCTATTACGCCTTTACAATTTTTTTGGCACAAGGGGTTTTTTTCCACAGCTGTGGGAAATCCGCCCTTGTTCTCCCTTCCCGCAAAACCCGGCATACGGGGCATAAACCTCCCCCTATCGTCCCCCTTTCTTTACCCGTGCATTTGCAAATGATGGGAAAGCCTGTAAATAGACGTTTAGTGTGGGATTTAGAGAACACAAAATCTCCCCCCGTCAAAATTTGGGTTTTGTAAGGGACGTTCTACCTAGACCCCTTAAACCCCCTTTGGTACGTATGTTCGTAATGCCTTTGCGAATAACCCCTCAGTTATTGCCATATTTTTTTCCCTGAGAAGGGATATGACACAACTTTGGGGGTATATATTTTTCCCAAGCCCCCTCCTTAGGCCTTCGAGGCAATCTACCATCCTTCCTTAAGAATTTTTTAACTGACAGGCATTTCCGTGTTCGGGTTAATAATGTGCTCTCCCCGGACTTTATCCAAGCTGAAGGTGTCCCCCAGGGATGTGTTCTGAGCACAACACTTTTTCTCCTTGCCATTAATGATTTGGCCTCTAGTCTTCCATCAAATATTTGGTCATCACTCTATGTTGATGACTTCACTATTGCCTGTGCAGGCGCTGACTGTCACCTTATTACAGTTTCTCTCCAGCATGCAGTCGACCGTATTTCCAATTGGGCCACCACACGTGGGTTTAAGCCGGCTGTGACAAGTTGCCTTCAGAGAGGTAATGTGAGGTTTCCAGGATAACCTACGATCAAAGAGGAGGCCCAGAAACTTGACTGTATCACGTTCAGGGATATGGGAGCCACAGAGGTACAAAGGATGATCGGAGATGACAGAGCGTCTAGTGAAAGTAATTTGGTGGGTTTTAGTGCTGGAAAATTTAACCTTCTTAAAACCCTTGCTCATCTTTCATGGGGAGCTGATCGTCGAACCCTCCTTCGCCTACATTCCACCCTTATCTTATCGAAACTTGATTATGGTGACCAGATCTATTCAGCGGCATCTCCTGCTACTCTCTCTAGCCTTAACCCCATTCATCACCAAGGATTACGTTTATGCCTTGGTGCTTTTCGCTCTTCCCCTGTCGAGAGCCTCTATGCAGAAGCGAACGTTCCATCCTTATCCGATCGCCGTGATGCCCATTGCCTTCGCTACTATGTACGCTCTCATGATCTCCGCAATCCTTCCATTTATAGAATGGTCACTGATATTAGTAGACATTCTTTATTTGTTCGCCGCCCCTGTTTACTCCGTCCCTTCTCTCTTCGCCTTCATTTGCTCTTGTCTTCTCTTCAATTACCACCTTTCTATGTACATGTAGCATCTCACTTTTCCCTACCCCCCTGGGAAGTTCCAGCTGTTCGATTCTGTTTTTTCTCTCTCCCTTGTTCGAAAGCCCAACTGTCTACGGTCGCTTCCCACTCTCTTTTTCTTGACCACTTTCACTCTCATTCTCATGCCATTGCTGTGTACACAGATGGCTCTAAGTCTTCTGACGGCGTAGGATCCGCAGCAGTGTTTCCGGACAGCATCGTACAAGGGCATTTACTATCTTCGGCTAGTATTTTTACTGCTGAATTGTATGCCATCCTTACAGCACTTATCCTATTGCATCTATGCCTGTGTCATCATTTGTGGTTGTCTCAGACTCCCTTAGTGCTTTACAGGCTATACAGAAATTTGATACACCTCACCCCTTAGTCCTCCATATCCAACTTTGGCTATGCCGCATCTTTACCAAGCATAAAGATATTGTTTTTTGTTGGGTCCCTGGTCATGTTGACGTACAGGGCAATGAACAGGCAGACACTGCTGCGCGGTCAGCAGTACATGACCTACCAGTTTCATGTAGAGGTATTCCATTTACGGACTATTTTGCTGCAATATCTTCCCAACTTCACACCCGTTGGCAACAACGTTGGTCTACTATGCTCAGCAACAAACTTCAATCTATTAAACCGAGTATAGGTTACTGGCCGTCTTCTTATCACCAGTGTCGAGGTTGGGAGACTACTCTCTCCCGTCTTTGCATTGGCCATACTCGTCTTACTCATGGATATCTCATGGAGAGGCACCCTGCTCCTCTCTGTGAGAATTGCCAAGTTCCATTATCAGTCAGCCACATTCTGTTGGACTGCCCACTTTATCAACGAGCACGCAGAATTTACCTCCGTCGTTGTCTTCGCTCTGCTGCTCTCTCTCTACCTTCCCTTCTCGCTGATGGACCCACCTTTCATCCAGACTCTCTCATTGACTTTTTGACAACAACCGACTTACTTCACAAATTCTGATACCTTCAGCCCTTTCTACTTCAATCTCTTGCTACCCTCTACTCCCGTACTATCCCCTGCCCCGCTGTTTTCTGTAACCTACTGATCATCCCTCCTCCCTTCTGCCATCCAATACCCTCGCTTCCTTCCCTACCCTGCAGCGCTGTATAGCCCTTGTGGCTTAGCACTTCTTTTTGATTATAATAATAATAATAATACACAAGAAAGAAGTTGGAACAGTGCATTTACGGCATGACATAAAAAATGCCCATCTAACTTCAGCATAATGACCAGCTGCACTGAAACTCACTACACTATTTCACAAAGGAGAACTGCACAATGTGATCTGTGCCACTGCCTTATTTCACCCAAGAAGTGCACAAAAATTCAAACACAGGAAACTTTTTATAGTACGTCGTGAAATATTGTAGATTCCAGGGATGCATAACCTGCGACCCTTGAGTGGCACAGTTGCACCCCTTGATATCTTATATTAAAAATCAAACTAACAATGACTTGACACTGTACATTCCATTGGCCTATGAAGTGGAGATTTCATAGTTTCCTTTTTATTCATTATTTGGCAATTGAAAAGATTGTGCATCTCTGTCAAAGAGGAATACAAATTAACAGTTTAGCAGTTTCTTGTGCAAGTCATTTACTAGTACAATAAAAAAAAATTGTTAAGCATCATTTTTGTTTCTTCATTGCTGTATTTGATTATGGAAAGGAAATTGCTGATGTCCAATTTGCCAGCGAAAACCTCATAGCTCTTTCCTTATATTTGAGAGCTTTAAAATAAGTTTTGTATATGATTCTATTGTTTTTATTTATATGTACAGTACTAAAAATTAGCCTTTGCTGTTATTCTATTTTCTGTGTGTGTTTGTGATATTAAGAGGGGGTTCTAAACTGTTAGTTATTCTTTTTATGCTGATCTTTTCAGAAGAATTCATGAACATGATGGTGAGACAGATATAGCTCGAAGAAGGCGACATCAAATGAAGTCTTTGACAGATTCCGGCACCAGCTTTCAGACTTTACGTGAACAATTCCAGGAATGGGTGAATCAAGCTTGCCAGTTGAGCTTTTCTGCAGTTTGGTGTACACTTAGCTCAACAGTTACCCTTGGTAATATAAAGGAAGTATTCAGGTATGTGTGACATAGCACAGGAAGCTTTCTGTAAATGTTGGCAGTAGTGAATTTAGAGGTACAGGGGACTCCTTTAGGGGGGGGGGGTCCCCCCTTGCTGCTGTCAGCTATTGCATGTTGTATAAATTTGTTTTTCAGTTTTTTTTTTTTCAACAGACTATCCATATCCCACTGAAGCAGGGTGACATAAAAAGAAAAACGAGTTTCTCTTTTTAAATTTAGTAATGTATACAGGAGAAAGGGTTACCAGCCCCGTTCTTCTGGCATTTTAGTTGCATGGCTTACGGAGGAAGAATTCTATTCCACTTCCCAGTGGAGATGAGAGGAAATAAGCAAGAAACAAGAACTAGTAAGAAAATAGAAGAAAACCCAGAGGGGTGTGTATATATATGCTTGTACCTGCATGTGTAGTATGACCTAAGTGTAAGTAGGAGTAGCAAGACGTAAGAACATAAGAACATAAGAAAGGAGGAACGCTGCAGGAGGCCTGCTGGCCCATACTAGGCAGGTCCTTTACAATTTCACGTATGTGAAATCTTGCATGTTTATGAAACAGAAAAGACACCAACAATGATGATAATAATAATAATAATAATAATGACAATGATGATAATAATAAAAATAATAATATCTCCATGGGGAAGTGGAACAGAATTCTTCCTCCGTAAGCCATGTGTGTCATAAGAGGCGACTAAAATGCCAGGAGCAAGGGCTAGTAACCTCTTCTCCTGTATATATTGCTAAATTTAAAAGGTGAAACTTTCGTTTTTCCTTTTGGGCCACCCCACCTCAGTGGGATACGGCTGGTACGTTGAAATAATAATAATAATAATAATAATAATAATAATAATAATAATAACACAGTGGAATTTTGACTTACGAGTGTCCCAACATACGAGTTTTTTGAGATAGCCATCCCTGGGTTGATTTTTTGCTCTGAGTTACGAGCCAGCTCCCCCTGCTTCCCCATCAACGCAAAACCTGGACACCTTGCTCGTTTATCTATGATTTCATGCTTTAATTCCATGGAAATCATCCTCTTCTCAGCATTGTCTTTTACACTTACTTTCTTAGGACCCATGCTTAGAAAAATGAAATTTGGCCAAATGACTGTCAAAAATGTAAGCAAAGCATGAGAGGACTGCTCCCACAGAGGTAAACAGTGCCCTGAGTTGGTGGCGTTCATTATTATTATAATAATATTATTATTATTGGTTATTATTATTACTGTTATTATTATTAGTAGTATTACTATTCTTCTTTCTTTCCCCAAACCGGCTGTATCCCACCAAGGCAGGGTGGGTTACAGGAGTTACTAGCCCCTTCCTCCTGGCATTTTAGTCGCCACTTACAACACGCATAGCTTAGGGAGGAAGAACTCTGTTCCACTTCCCCATGGAGATAAGAAGAAATAAACAAGAACAAGAACTAGTAAGAAAATAGAAGAAAACCCAGAGAGGTGTGTATATATATGCTTGTACATGTATGTGTAGTGTGACCTAAGTGTAAGTAGAAGTAGCAAGACGTACCTGAAACCTTGCATGTTTATGAGACAAAAATGGACACCAGCAATCCTACCATCATGTAAAACATTTACAGGCTTTTGTTTTACACTCACTTGGCAGGACAGTAGTACCTCCCTGGGCGGTTGCTGTCTACCAACCTACTACCTAGAATTATTACTATTATTATTAATTTAGGTAGCTAGAGCACAGATCCAATTCCCTAGATCAAGAGCCCCTCACCAGCGTCAAGGTTCCTTGACGCTGGTGAAGGGCTCTTGATCTAGGGAATTGGATCTGTGCTCCAGTTACCTAAATTAATAATAATAATAATAATAATAATAATAATTATTATTATTATTATTATATTATTATTATTATTATTATTATTATATTATTATTATTATTATTATTATTATTATTATTATTATTATTATTATTATAATGATAGAGCTTCAGTTCCCTAAATTAATAATACAGGGGACCCTCAACCAACGGCGGCATCGACTAAGGCCAAAATAGACTAACGGCGCTCTTTGGCATCAGAATATTGGCTCTAACAATGGCGAAAAACTCATCTAAAGGCTTTCGTCCCTAACGTGTCCAAGCGGCCTGAGCGGGCCCAGCCACTTGAAAACGATTGTTTACAAGCCGTTGTGGTCGATTCCATGTGTACCTGTGATATATTTTGTATTACTCCATTGTTTTTAGTGCTTGTAACTGCTAAATAAGCCACCATGGGCCCCAAGAAACCTTCTAGTGCCAACCCTGTGGTAAAAAGGGTGAGAAATACTATCGAAATACTATCGTACCACGGTCAGCTGCTGCTGCTGCTGCTGCACTACTGTCAGCTGTTGCTGCACCACTGTCAGCTGCTGCTGCACCACGGTCAGCTGTACTACTTGAAGATGTGGAGAGACTGTTGTTGGTGTGGCTTATCGAGAATACCAAGAAACAATTAACCCCAGAGGGTTAGCCACCCAGGATAACCCAAGAAAGTCAGTGCGTCATCGAGGACTGTCTAACTTATTTCCATTGGGGTCTTTAATCTTGTCCCCCAGGATGCGACCCACACCAGTCGACTAACACCCAGGTGAACAGAAAAAATGCCTGGAACTAGTGCTCATATTGGTAAATTTAAGGCCAGCAAAGGTTGGTTTGAGAGATTTAAGAATCATAGTGGCATACACAGTGTGATAAGGCATGGCAAAGCTGAAAAATTCCAACCCCAACAAGTGTTTAATTGGTTTAATTGTGACGAAACAGGCCTGTTCTGGAAGAAAATGCCAAACAGGATCTACATTACTCAGGAGGAAAAGGCACTCCCAGGACACAAGACTATGAAAGACAGGCTATCTCTCATGTTTTGTTGTAATGCTAGTGGGGATTGCAAAGTGAAGCCTATACAGTGGACCCCCGCATAACGATCACCTCCGAATGCGACCAATTATGTAAGTGTATTTATGTAAGTGCGTTTGTACGTGTATGTTTGGGGGTCTGAAATGTACTAATCTACTTCACACTATTCCTTATGGGAACAAATTCGGTCAGTACTGGCACCTGAACATACTTCTGGAGTGAAAAAATATCGTTAACCGGGGGTCCACTGTATGACTTTAATAAGGCTAGTAGGGAAGTTTAGTAGAGAATAATTAGTTTTGAATTATTTTATAAAAATTACAGTATTACAATAGAACAATTTAAAAGAAATTGAACTTTACAATTTTGAAGTATTACAGTTTTACAATAGAACAATTTAAACAATTTACAATATGAAGTATGTTTTACAATTTAGTATTCAAAACAATGAAATTTGAACATCTTAATTATGAAGTAATAAGTATACATGGTTGAGCAATCTTCAGCACAATATACTGTAGACATATTTGTGATGCTCCTAGACATGATGTTGAAGCACAAACCAGGAAAAATTTATCTTAAAAAATGACATGGCACAAAATGCAGCTCTATACTACTGGAGGGAGCAAGACTACAGTTTTATTTTTTAAGTACTGTAATGTAATGTGGACTAGTACTCAGCCTTGATACAGAGAGTGATTAGTATATACAATATTTTTTTTTTTTTTCAACAAACCGGCCGTATCCCACCGAGGCAGGGTGGCCCAAAAAGAAAAATGAAAATTTCTCTTTAAATTTAGTAATTTATACGGGAGAAGGGGTTACTATCCCCTTGCTCCCAGCATTTTAGTCGCCTCTTACAACACGTATGGCTTATGGAGGAAGAATTCTGTTCCACTTCCCCATGGAGATAAGAGGAAATAACAAGAACAAGAGCTAGAAAGAAAATAGAAGAAAACCCAGAGGGGTGTGTGTATATATATGCTTGTACATGTACGTGTAGTGTGACCTAAGTGTAAGTAGAAGTCGCAAGACATACCTGAAATCTTGCATGGTTATGAGACAGAAAAAAGGACACCAGCAATCCTACCATCATGTAAAACAATTACAGGCTTTCATTTTACACTCACTCGGAAGGACGGTAGTACCTCCCTGGACGGTTGCTGTCTACCAATCTACTATGTAGGATATACAATATTTATGTTGTATAATAAAAATTAGTAGGAGCAATTGGCTAGTAATTCCCTTCTCTTTTATATATTACTGAATTTAACCCTCTGAGGTGTCTGTGCCGTAGTTCTACAGCTATGAAGCCAGGGTCAGTGCTGTAGTTCTATGCCATGAGCTCAGCTCTGTGAGTGGTAAATTTGGGCCTAGATATGAGAGAACATATCTATGTGATAAGTGTGCACCAAATAAAAAAATCCTGCAGCACGTAGTGCATAATGAGAAAAAACTGCAACCACGTTTGTAGATTAAAGCAGCAACTTTGCTGTGTATTTTCATATAGTTTTTATGGTTATATTCACGGTTTCTTGGTCTCAATTGATAGAATGGAAGATATATTAAAGAAATAGAGATGATTTAGATTGGTTTGAAAAATGAAAATAGCTTGAAATTGAGCTCAAAGTAGTGGAAATGTTCAATTTTGCTAATACAGTGTTCCCTCACTTATCGTCCATAATCCGTTCCTGGAAGTAGGACTATTATCAAAATAGACGATTTTCGAATCTATTTTCCCCATAAGAAATAATGTAAATACAGTTAATCCGTTCCTGACACCCAGAAGTATTAAAACAAAAATTTTTTTTACATGAAATATAGATGTAGTACATAAACAATACAGTGGCACATGATGAATGAAACATTAACAGCATAACACTTACCTTTATTGGCGATTCTTCTTAGTGTATGGAAGACTGGAGGAGGAGAGACATTGAATTACTGTTTGGAAGGGGAATCCCCTTCCATCAACACCTCAGGTACCAAGTGCTTTTCTAGGGTTACTTCTCTTCTCTGTTTCTTAATGCCACTAGGACCAGCTTGAGAGTCACTGGAGTCCTGTCTCACAAAAAAAAACTGTCCAGGGAGCTCTGTTTCTGGCGTCTCTTTAAAACGTCCCTAAAATGGGCCAAGACTTTGTCACTGCACAAGTTGCCAATATGGCTTGCAACATCCTTCTCAGGGTGATGTTTCTCCATAAATCTTTCCATCCTACCCCACATTTCAAAAATCTCCTTAATTTCTGAAGAAGGCACCTTCTTCCATCTCTCTTCCTGCTCCTCTGCAGCAAGATTCTGAGCTGCGATCTGTTGCTCTTCCTGCTGAAACTCTTGCTCCTTTCATATTGTTCAATGATGTTTTTCTGAAATTCAATCGTATTTCTCACCTTCTTTACCAAAGGTTTGGCACTAGGAGCTTTCTTTGGAGCCATGGTAGCTTATTTAGTACTTGCAAGCACTAAAATGAATGGAATATTATGAAATATTTCGTATGAACACGTGAGAGGACCGTCGCTCACTGGTAAACAATGGCACACTGGCTGGGAATGGCTCAGAGACGTGAGTACGCATCCAGGACGAAAGACGATTAGTGAGTTAACGGACCATTTGCGACCCAACGTTTAGACAAAATAACGGGACTATTTCCGAAATGGATAACTCTCAGGCCGGACGATTATTGAGGGACCACTGTATTCAGGAGTAAACAAATCACATCACATGTCCAATACTCGTCAGTGGGTGGGTCTGATATGCATTCACAAATGTGCTGATATTATTTATACAATTATTATAATATTGCATAACAGTAAATCTTCTGTTTTTATTGGTGTGAGCAAAAAACCAAACTGGAATTAATGTGTAAAGCCTGGAAATGTAACTGATAAACAGAGGAAATGTTATTTTAGTGCCAGGAATGCCTGCATTGTTTATTCTGGATCTTATTTTTGAAATTTGTGTAAAATTGGCCAAATTATCAATTTCTGATTCACTATATTGGGTAATTGAAGTACGTAGTGGATTAGGCGGTTTCTTGCACTCATTCACTCATTGGTATGAATGCTACATGTAAGGAAGATGATATTCAGTGTCTTGTTGTTGCTTGTAGTTCTGAGTAGTTTATATTAAGTACAGTATTTTATTAACTCCTCTGCTGTTTTGTATGACTAATGCAAAATAAAAATATTGACAGTATGATAATAATGGTAAATGAATACCAAGTCTGTTGGTTTTTATTTAAAATTTTTATCATAGTTATTGTCTTGCTTTAAAATGTTTTTCTTTTTGAATTTAGTAATTTGTAAAAAAAAGGGGTTACTTGCCCCTTATTCTTGGCATTTTAGCCGCCTTTTATGATGCACATGGCTGATGAAGGATTCTTCTCCACATCTTCATGGAGATGAAAGGAATACAGCAATATAAGAACATAAACTATTAAGAAAATAGAAGGAAACTCAGGTGTATACACATACACATGTGTATACACATGCAAAAAGAACAATAAAAAGGACAATATTGTGATAACAATACACAGATAACTCGCACATAGGAGAGAGGAGCTCACGATGACATTTCGGTCCAACTTTGACCATTTACAATGTCAGACCGACATTGTAAATGGTCCAAACTGAACCAAAATGTAGTCGTAAGCTTCTCTTTCCTATGTGCTGGTTATTTGTGTATACACATACATGTACATGCATGTGTAGTATACACTAAGTACAGTGGTACCTCGAGTTATGAACTTAATTCATTCCAGAAGGCTGTTCGAGTGCTGATACCAAACGAATTTGCTCCATAAGGAATAACGTAAATTAGATTAGTCCATTTCAGACCCCCAAAAATACACTTACAAAAGCAATTACAAAAATACACTTACATAGTTTTTCAAGTTGGGAGCTGTGTAACTCAAGGTACCACTGTAGTATAAGTAGAAGCAGGAAGATGCACTTGTCATCTTGCATGTTTATGAAACAGAAAGAATAAGACACCCGCAGTTCTAGCATTGTGTAAAGAATTACAGGTTTCCATCCTATACTCATCTGGTAGAATGGTATATTGACATTAATTTGGTTTTCTAATTGAATATCATTTTGGAAACTAAAGTATAAAAGAAGTTTGCTAAGATTTTTGTGGCTGACGTAGCAGTGAAAGTGCTAACTAGGGGTGTGCCAGAGTATTAGTATTATCCATATTGACCTAAAATTAAGTATTGGTAGCAGAAGGTATCTGCTAATTTTTTTGGCGTTGGTATCGGTGTCGGATAAAAATTTGGCATCGTCCCATGCCTCGTGCTAACAGTCAACAAATTATTGCAAAACTTCTTAATGCAAGTGTATTGAATTTATTATTACAGCTTCTAATATTGAGAAATATTTAAATTGTTAGAACAAAAAACTCTTAACTTCTTTATGGTAAACTGCACAAATTTCAAACTTCTAATAACATTCAGTGTTTACTTGTATATATTTCTTTGTGTTTCCTAATAATTTCTAGTCCTGTAATGTTTCCTTTTTAATTAAGGTCTGCTCAGAGACTGGGGCATTGGAGATGTATGATTTGAATCACTAGAACTGTATTAACCCTTTCAGGGTCCAGAGGCCAAATTTCAAAGTGTGCACCAGGGTCCAAGAATTTAAAAAAAAAAAATTGTTATTTTTTCTTATGAAATGGTAGAGAATCTTTTTCTGAAGGCAATAAAACAAAAAGTACAAAATTTGAGGGAAAATTGACGAAATTATGCTCTCTTGAATTTTGATGTGTCGGCGATATTTACGCATCAGCGATTTTGCCGACTTTGACTCCCATTTTAGACCAATTACACTATTCCAGTTGACCAAATTCTTAGCTATTTCACTAGTATTACTTCTATTCTATCAATTCAGCACAAGAAATCGCCAAGTCAACTGTTTCAACTACAAAATAAAGTTATCGGAAATTGGTAATTTGGCCAATTTAACGCAAAGTTCAAAATATTCCAATTTCAAAATAGGGTCCAGAATAAACAATGCAGGCATTTCTGGCACTAAACTAACATTTCCTCTGCTCATTAGTTACATTTTCAGGCTTTACAAATGAATTCCATTTTGATTTTTTATTCACATAATGAATTTTTATTCAAACCAAAAAATAGAAGATTTACTGTTATGCAATATTGTAATAATTGTATAAATAATATCACCACATTTGTGAATGTATATTAGACCCACCAGCTGGCATGTGTTAGACGTGTGAGGTCATTTGTTTACTCTTGAACATCAGCAAAAATTTAACATTTCCACTACTTTGAGCTCAGTTTCAAGCCATTTCCAGTACTAAAACCAATCAAAATCATCTCTATTTCTGTAATAAGTCTTCCATTCTATCAAATGAGACCAAGAAATCGCAAATCAAAAATTGCGGTCTCAGTTTTTTCTCTCATTATGAATTGTGTGCTGCAGGATTTGTTTTATGTAGTGCACACATACCACATAGCTGCATTCTCTCATATCTAGGCCCAAATTTACCGCTCACAGCTTATCAGAGTGAGCAGAGTTCATGGCGTAGATCTATGGTTTGGACCCTCAACTCAAAGCCTTAGAACTACGGCACGGACCCTGAAAGGGTTAAGGGTTTAAATAGTATGAGGTCCCTTTTTTAACTCGGAACTTGATGGTAATTTATATTAACCCAATTTTTTGATATTCAGCTTTTGTTAAATGTAAGGCAGTATATATTCAACTTTTTTTTGTTGGCAGGTTCGTTGCTGTACTGGTTATGACGCTGGTGATAGGTCTCTTTTCATTCTGGAGAGACACTCACAATCTTGGACTGCGTTACATCCGGGAAGTAGGCATATTTTTACGCAACATCACTCCATTTCTGCAGTCTTTACTTGCTTTTATAGAGAAATTAATTGGTGGCATGTACTTGCTAATAGCCATGGTATATCGTGATTGGCGTCGGCCTAGTGCTCCACCCCCATCATACCCACAGAGAGGGCAGTCACCTCTTTATCTTCCTCAGGGTCAGGGTGCTGTTCTTGGTGCTGGTGGGTCAAGGGTAGTAAAGTATGTGCCTCCACAACAATGGGTGTTCAAAAGTCAAAGTAATGAATCATCTCCAAGTTGAAACTTTGCACTAATGGCATTCATTAGTGATATACAGCTGTGTTCTCTAATGTGATGTGTCTGATACCTTATCTTGCCTTATTGAAGGTCTGTGTCTCATACCCTTTCTTGCCTTGAGGGTAGGCTGTGAAGAAATATGTATTGTACTGTAGTTTTAATTTGAGATGTTTCACTGTATGATATTTAAATTTTTTTTTATTGCACTATAAAATCAATCATGTATCCTTATTTCAGAGTGTATTATTCAGACTTGTCTGGGGATAAATTTACAGGTAATTTGTTTTTTATTACTCATGTGGGTAATGTTCACATGTAAAGGATTAATGTAATTTTATTATATACTATATATTGGGCAGCTTTTAAAGCTGATGAAGTTGTGCCTTGAAACACAGATTAAGAAACTTTAATATATAAAAAATATTTAGTATATACTGTACTAGTCACCCACTTTGTGTAAAGATTTTGTGGTTTATAAAATTGGTTCTGATTGGTAAGTTTTTATTATCCACTAGTATTTGTATGTATATTTTTGTTGAGAGGGATTGTACCTTGTGCTAATCTGTCATCTTAACCATATATTTTTACTACATTGGCTGTTTCCTACCAAAATAGTAACCTCCCCCCCCCCCCCAAAAAAAAAAAAAAAAAAAATCAGTAGCTGCCTTTCCAGAAGTGGACAGACATCACAGTTCAAATGATCCTCCAAAACATAATATCTTTCACCCTACTCCTCCAAAGTGCAAGCACTGTTTTCCACTACCAGGACTCTAGTCCATCTAACTAGTTTTCCCTGAATCTCTTCATAAATGTTAATTTTGCTCTCAAACTAACAGCATATCAAAACTTTAAAACCACTTGTCTCTACTCAGCCTGATCTAACATGCTCACATAAATCTGTTGGATACTCCAGTGCCTACCACTCAAAACCTTCACAGTTCATACCCACTGTCCAACCCTTCCTGGGATGACACCTACCCCATTTTTCCATCCATCCAGGATTTATGTTTCTTGGTTATCTTATTCTTCTCTATCCTGTATAAATTCCCCAACTACTTCAGCAACCCCCTCAGCCTTTTGAATGATTTGCAGTCTAGCACCATCTTCTGATTTCTATATTTGGAGTTCTTTTCATTGTATTCACACCACACATTTCTCTCAAATGTGATGTGCCTCTGATGAGTTTCGAAAGTTTTTCTACTCCCAAAGTCTGGTCTTGGGTCAAGTCACTTCTAATGTTTGCCTGATCATCCAGGCTGTTGCTGTTTGCAGCCTGCTTCCTCCAGTCTTTTCTTCATTGCTGTACACCTATGTCAAAGGGGTTGGCATCTCTCTACTCTGATACATACCTCTGTTTTGCCTCCATAGATAAACTTGTTCCTCTCCATTGATGTTTCAACACTCGTTGTACCCTTTTCCTTTGTCTTTTATATAGTTTACCTCGTCTTTTATAGACCCATCTGCTGACATGTTCACACTCAAATACTGTATCTAAATATGTTCACTTTCTCCACATTCCCTCTTTCCAATCTAGTTTCAAATTTTTAATTGCTTAAATTTTTTTTGTTACTTATAAACTTTGCTCTTTTCTGTGTTCACTCTGTATTTCTTTCTAATATATTCCCTTCCTAACCCATTCACCAACCTTTGAACTTCTCATTGGAATCTTCCACAACAACTGTCATCAGCAAAAAGCAGCTGTGACAGATTCAAGTATATATCAGATTTGTTATCCTTTAACTGCCACACCTTGCTCACTTCCATTACATCCTCAATTAAAAATATGGTAAACTGCCATAGGTACCTCATTCATCCATGTCTATCACCTGATTTTACTGAAAAATAGCTCTCTTCTCCTCTACATACCCTAACCTAAGCCTCACTCTGCTCATTAAAACTATTGCTTTTAGTAACCTACAAATTCAGTACATTTGCAACATCTGCCACATAGCTTCCTCACCCACCCTATCATGTGCCTTTTCTAATTACATAAATGCTTCAAGTAGTTGGTTACCTTATCTAAGAATTGTTTACTAATACTTCAGTGTAAATGTGTGATCTGCATGTCCCTTACCCTTCCAAACTCCTCCTTGTTCCTCTGTACAGTAATTCTTTTTTATGTCTCATTCCTAACTCTTTCAATAATAATTCTGCCCTACACTTTATCTGGTATACTCACCAGGCTTTTTGCCCTTTAACCCTTATACTGTGAGCAAATGTATGTACTGTATATTACCAACCATAAATCTATCTCAGCCAAATGAAGGGGATATATTGTCTCTCAAATAATCAGGTTTTTGCTCAACCCTAGACATAAGATGGAGGAGGAGGTATATTTTGAGGCCTTGCAGAAGGGAGTAAATCTACAACCATCGCCAAACTTTGGGTAGCTTTAAAAATTGTTTCGACAAGTACGTGAGTGGAAGTGGGTGAGTATGCATTGCATCTGCTTTGCATGGACCAGTAAGCCTACTACTATGGTACTCTGCTGTTCTAATGTTTTTACATTCAGTGCTTTCGTAGCCTCTGCATCATTAGGTCTAAATTGTAAGGATACTGGAAATAATGTTTTTATACAAATTCAGAGGGACTTCAAGATTTGTAAATCCTTTGCTTTTTTTTCATTTACATATTCTGGATTTAAATGAGAGGAAACTGAATTTCATGTCAATACAGTAAGTTCTATATGCGAAATGTGCATTAGTTTGGTTATTAAACTCGTACATTAACAAGTCACAGGTTATGAGTGTATGTTTTGTTCCTGAGGGACCACCTGCCTGCTTCTTTCCATTTACAAAATCAGGGTTGAACTGAGAAAAGACTGGATATATCTGTATATACACCATGCATCAATTTGAGTGTGGTAAATAAGTGTGCATAGCTTAACTGCAATTGCTTTGTTTTTATACGGGCACCTCCCTTTGTTTCTCAAGTCTAATGACCTTTTAGAGGTAGTTCAGGAATTTTTTTAAAGCAGTTTGTTACAGAACCCACAAGGAGAAATAACGTGCTTGACTTGGTCCTGACAAACAAGGAAACCCTTGTTAATAATTTAGAAATTAAAGAGGAACTTGGCACAAGTGACCACAATTCAGTTAATTACCTTTAGCATTGAATGAAAGTACAGTGAACCCTTGGTTTTCATGTTTAATCCATTCCAGAGCAATCGGCAAAAACGGAAACCATCTTCTCCATAAGGAATAATGCAAATCCAGTTAATCCGTTTCAGACACCCAGAAGTATTAACAATAAAATTTTTTTTAGCTTAAATATAGATTTACATGCAGAAAAGAATGACAAATAAATATAAAGCACTAATAAAATATATAAATGAACATTTACCATCACACTTACCTTTATTAAAGACTCTTATTGGTGTATGGCAGAGGAAGGAGAGGCGAGTTTATTGTTGGAGACAGTATGCTTCAATACAATACTAATATAAACTCCACGGCTTATTTATCTATCATGATTCATCTAATATGACATAAACAATATTAATAACTTAGAAACATGACATATACATGTACTCTAGAATGAATAAAATATGTATGTCACAAAAGGCATTGTGTTGTTGTTGTTGGGTGTATAAGGGCCATTGAGAGCATAAGCTGTACATAGTGCTGGTGAAGGCAGCAGCAGAGACGGCTGTATTCTCAGTAGCCCTATATAACTCCAACATCATTGGAAGAGTTAGGTTCGTGCTGTCCTTTTTCTATCGATTAATTGCTTAACTTACTTGCTACACTGTCAGTGCTACACTTTATCTTTGGCTGGAGCTATAGCCTTTATCGACTCGTGTTACTTTAGTATCATACATATGGTAGAATCACTGAAGAAGGCACATTCTCCCCTCTCTCTTCCTCCTCCACTTTGGTACTTTGCTACAATTTCTTTCTTTAACCCTTTCAGGGTTGACAGGCCCTCTCCTCTTATGAAATTTTTTTTTTCTAAATTTTATAGGCTAAAAAAATTTTTTTGCCATCAATACTTACCGAGATATGGAGGCATGAAGTTGATAGAAATTGAACTGCATATGGCAACATCGCCGATTGCCGGTCACCCGGTCATCATTTATTTTGTTTTTTCTACCTTTTTCTATTATTTTTTAATATTTTTTCATTTCAAGTAACTTTTATGGCCTGTGAGACCAACATGAGGACTATTTTGTATATATTCACTCTTTCTATACTACACAATCACTGCACAAACACTGTTGTCATTATATTATTTACAAAACATGTTTACACAAACGAACAAAATAAAATGTTGTTTATTAAAATTTTTCTATATTATATATACATGGTGGTGCGTTGAGGTATATGTGGAGTCAAAAAACGTTATCTATGGAGGCAAAGAAGGGAATGTATGAAAGTATAGTAGTACCAACACTCTTATATGGATGTGAAGCTTGGGTGGTAAATGCAGCAGCTAGGAGACGGTTGGAGGCAGTGGAGATGTCCTGTCTAAGGGCAATGTGTGGTGTAAATATTATGCAGAAAATTCGGAGTGTGGAAATTAGGAGAAGGTGTGGAGTTAATAAAAGCATTAGTCAGAGGGCAGAAGAGGGGTTGTTGAGGTGGTTTGGTCATTTAGAGAGAATGGATCAAAGTAGAATGGCATGGAAAGCATATAAATCTATAGGGGAAGGAAGGAGGGGTAGGGGTCATTCTCGAAAGGGTTGGAGAGAGGGGGTAAAGGAGGTTTTGTGGGCGAGGGGCTTGGACTTCCAGCAGGCGTGCGTGAGCATGTTAGATAGGAGTGAATGGAGACGAATGATACTTGGGACCTGACGATCTGTTGGAGTGTGAGCAGGGTAATATTTAGTGAAGGGATTCAGGGAAACCGGTTATTTTCATATAGTCGGACTTGAGTCCTGGAAATGGGAAGTACAATGCCTGCACTTAAAAGGAGGGGTTTGGGATATTGGTAGTTTGGAGGGATATGTTGTGTATCTTTATACGTATATGCTTCTAAACTGTTGTATTCTGAGCACCTCTGCAAAAACAGTGATAATGTGTGAGTGTGGTGAAAGTGTTGAATGATGATGAAAGTATTTTCTTTTTGGGGATTTTCTTTCTTTTTTGGGTCACCCTGCCTCGGTGGGAGACGGCCGACTTGTTGAAAAAAAAAAAAATATACAGTCACTGGACATGTTCTTAGAAGTTCTGCAGCCTGTGGAAGTTTTTGAAAGACGATGTCATGCACAATGGTGTTTACACTCCTCACACACAAAATGAGTGTGTCTGCATTGTTGTGGGTGTTTTTTGCATGTGCACAGATGTAACACCTCTTCTGAACCTTTTTCTTGAAAGCAGTAGCAGGCAGTTTCATTAGGAAGTGTTCACCAGGCCTCAGACAAGAAGGTAGTTGTTGATAATTTTGTGGGCAGTTTTCTATTGCAGTTGTTGTTCCTTGGTACTTGATTATTATTTGTCTGATGACAGACAAGCAAAATTCACCATATGGTGGTTTGTTTCTGGTCCTCAT